TTATTTATATGTTATTAATTTTTTAAACCTTTAAAACAAATTCATTTTTTTTTTATCTTGTATTGTATAATATGAGATAACATTCAATCTCTCATCCTTTAACCCACATCACTTATACTTATACGTTATATAATTTAAATTTCAAAATTTTTTTATCAAAATAAAATTATCATTAAATTATTTAAATTATTATTAGCTTAAAGTAAATTTCATTCTTAATATTTAATTACTTTCTCTATTTGAAAATAATTGTTCCCTTTTTATTTTTTCTCTAACCCTATGTTTGGGTTGAGGGGAAGAGGAGGGGAATTATATACTTCCATTCCTCTTCATTCCCCTTCCCCTCGTTCCCCTCGTTTGGATAACAACTAATTAAATTAAAAATAATAATAATAAATGAAAGAAACTTTTTCACCACCCTTCCTCTCTAATTTTGTTGACAACCAAAAATAAAGAACTTTTTCCCCTTCCCTTCCATTTCCCTCAATCCAAATATACTATAAATTAAGAATTTAAAGATAATTTATGCGTTTACCTATAATACCTTTAAAAAAGAGATATAAAAGATAAAAAAAAGGTTTTTGTAATTTGATGATCAATTGAAGTTAAAAGATAATAATATAGTTAAAATAGACTAAAATATTTATCTATTTTAAAAAAATAAAAAAATGATAATTAATTTATACAATGTACCTAGAGACAGTGCACCTACCCAATTCATATTAGGTAAAATCATATAAAGTAGAGGCAATTTTTCCTAATTTGGCTAAATATATATTTTTTATTTATGTGTTATTAACTACTCCTTCCAATTCATTTTTAATAGTTTTAATTTGACTTTCTAACTTTCAGACATAAATTTTAGATAAAAATTTAACAATTTAAATGAATAATAATTGAAAAAAAAATTTATATGAAATTCTTGTTGAATATTTTTATTTGATCAAAAAAAATTTCAATTATTATTTATATAATATGTTAAATTTTCATCTAACATTTATATCTAAAAAATTAAAAAATCAAATTAAATCTACTAAAAATAAACAAAATGAGCAGTATTTAATTACTCCTGCTATCCAAAAATAAGTGTTGTTTTTTACTTTTTCTTCAAATTAAGAATTTAAGAATAATTTATATGTTTACATATAATACCTTTAAAAAAGGATATAAAATAAAATCTTTTTCTAATTGGATGATCAATTAAAATTAATTGATAACAATAGAGTTAGAGTAGGGAAAAAAATATTTATCCATCTTAAAAAATAAAAGAATAACAATTAACTAAGGATAAATTGAACACAATTATTTTGAAATAAAAGGAGTATTTAGGGATTAATTTCAATTGCACATAGGTGCGATGCACCCACCGAAATCATATAAGGTAAGTGCAATTTTTTGTAATTTAATATATA